GTGAACGATGGATCATTTCTAAAAATATGCAAACTTCCGACAGTTTAAGCGCTCATTGTTAGAGCAAGAGAAGGACGCAAACACTGCGCGCGCGCAGAGTGCATTCATTGTTACGAATTGTGTCAGATGATGTATGTCTTGTACGCCCTTAATAATAAGTACAATATATCTTAAATAATTAAAAAAAACAATTAAATATTGTTTTAACTGATTAACCGACTTTCAAAAAGGAGCAAGTTCTATGTTCGTCTGTATGTATTTTTATTTTGTCATTTTAAGTTCTTGCATGGAAGAAATGCATTGTCTGTGGGCCCTGTACTAGGCGTGGACCTGTGTTATGTCTTTGCCTATTTATATATAGATAGTAGATACTAATAAGTACTTAAATATTGGATTTTTTTATTAATTCTTTAATAGTAATATTAATAAAACATTAATTTTAATATTTACAAGTATTACTACATTTCAAGCAGCTTATATTAAATTTATTAATATATATGCAACACGATTGTAAAATTTAGTGGCAAAAGTAATGACCTACAAATTTATTTTAATTTAAATTATGTGTCACATTCAAAGTAATAAAAACAAACGATTTCAAAGGCGTAAAGCACATTTTATAATGAAGACATTTACTGGAATACAGTCATAAATCCCAAAGGAAAGAGGACGATCTCGATCAAGGACATGTTTATTTTTCCACTCTGTAATACTTATTACAATGTTTAATTCTCAATTCAATTCAATTTTTTGTTGCGTGCCTTATAATTTAATTAAATTCAATTCAATTTTTTCATGTCATGTCAGACTAATATAGACAGAGTCCGCCAAAATAAGTATGAAAGTCAAAAATAGTAGCGTGATTTATTGTTTATGCTACTATTCTAGATTTTGCCATACAGGTCGTTTACTTTCTTTAAAGAGGGACATTTTATTCATGTAGGTACATATTAGTTGAATTAATATACAATTTTTGAGAATATAATCTATACATATAATAAAGTTGTAACTAAGCCGAATCTGTACATTAAATATCTGAAAAATCTTATTGAAATAAACATTATTATCGATACAGAGGCTGAATCTATAGTTTTTAGAATTTTTGTCTGTCTGTCTGTCTGTTACCGCATCACAGAAAAACCAAATTCTTAGCTTTTTTTTTCTGTATACTAGCAACTCACCCACGTTTCGCTCGGGTTCGTCCCTGCCTTGCTTTCCAATAGAAACTTTCATCCCCATATTCACCCTCTTAAGGGATGATTTCCGGGATAAAAAGTATCCTATGTCCTTACCAAAGTCTTAAACTATCTTCTTACCAAATTTCATCTAAATTGGTTCAGTAGATCCAGAGATTACGTCCTACAACGTCACAAACTCAGAAACTCACAAACTTTACCTCTTTATAATATTAGTATAGAAAATCCGTTAGCTATTTTTACTTATTCACTTATCACTCAGTACACAAATTGTCATTTGTATAATATTTTCAAACATTATAATTATTTTAAAATATTATTGATTGGCTTCATGTTTAGTATGTATTATTCCTTAGTCTGATGTTTAATCATGAAAATATTATGTATGAAAATATTACGTCATGTATATACGAGTATAAATGCGAAAGTTTTAATCCTTTACGGTGAAATTCTAGACGGATTTTGATGAAATTTTGAAATTTATTATACCTACCTATGACCGTGGTAACAAATACTTACGTTCTTAGGCACCTAGTAAGTTACCTAGCGGACCTAGAGTTAAACGCTAATAAGTACATAATATAAAAAAAACAAATGGCCAAATTGGATAATTATTTTTTTATTTACTATTAATGAAATAAAATTAGAAATTATTTAAAATATTTTTAAATATTTAAAAAACTTCAGTGATAACATTTCAAATGGATCGATGATTTGTTTGAGCAAATTTTCAAACTTACAAACTATCCATTATACTTCACCAGATATTATCTATACAGATAAATAAAATTAAAGCGTCTGTTTGTAATGTCAAAATAACAGCTTTTAACTGAATACATATGAAATTATATACGGTACTTATAAGAAAAACACAACTTTTCAAATTTTCTATCTATTTGTTTGTCTCGGCTAATCTCCAAAAAGGCTGGAAGATTTTGACGGGACTTTCGCTGGCAGATATCTGATGTTATATATAAGGAATAATTATAAGCGAATTTTAGCTTAGAAAAAGAATTAGGGTTCCGCTCAAACAAAAAATTTACGTAGGGACGCATCCTAGCGAAGCGAGCGTGAGTCGCTAGTATATACTAATATTATAAAGAGGTAAATTTTGTAAATTGGGAGAATGTGAGTTTGTGACTTTGTAGGGGGTAATCTCTGGATCTACTGAACCGATTTAGATGAAATTTGGTAAGAAGATAGTTTGAGTCTTGAGACCCTGAGAAGGACATAGGATACTTTTTATCCCGGAAATCATCCCTTTAGGGGGTGAAAATGGGAATGACAGTTTGTATGGGGAATCAAGTTAGGGACGAATCCGAGCGAAGCGAGAGTGAGTCGCTAGTTAAATATAAAACAAATAAATGCTGATTGAATACGACAAGTTTTTCAGGTCACCAGGGGCGACGCGGTCTGCTCACGCCAACTCAGCACGGCAGTTGTAAAGCACGAGACCATACAAGTTATGTAACACTAATAATGGTTTATTACTTCTCTCTACATAAAAGAGCTATTATTAGTCTATTTAAAAAAATATTCATTTTCATTTGTGTATAAATCAAAATGAAAATAAAAATAGGCAAAAAATATATTACTGGATTTGTTTACATTGATGTAACGTGTTCGCTTGGGAAACCGAGTGTAGCGGGTTCAAATCCCGGTCTCGCACCTCTGATATTTTCATATGCGAATCAATTCCAACACTTGTCTTGCAGTAAAGGATACTATTTTGGGGAAACCTGCATGTCTGAAAGAATCTAGCAAGTTTTCGAATGACATGTGAAGTGTCATCATTTTTATTCTTATTTTGGAAATCGATTAAAAGTGCAATATATATTAGAACCTATTATTAATGCAAAACTGTTTGTTTATCTGAATTTATCCTGTCAACGGCAACTAATCAATCTGTGTGTTTTTGGGGACAATTCATTGTTTTTTTTTGAGGACAATTAATTAGCCAGAAAGTGCCACAGTCTATTTTTTATCCACACTTAAAATATTTCCCGTGAGATATGAAATGGATAAATAACCTAACAATTGGTTATTAGTAAAATTATAATAAAGGAGCTAAAGTATTGCTACATTCTTGCCCGCATCAAGTACATGGGACAACTTATGTACATCCTCAGTGTTAGATTGGCCCGTACGCTAAGCTTTACTACAACAGCATTCTCACAAAATTTGTCTTTTCTTGCACAAACTTTTCTACGTTACTAGTTTAATGATATCTTATAAATATAAATATGTTGGGACATTAACACACAGCACCATCTAGTTCCATGGCAGGCTTGTGTTATGGATACCAGATAGTTGATACACTACACATATATATATGTATATGTATAATATACATTGTATATATATATATATATATTACTACTATATATAGTACTAGAATGTTTCCAATTTTATCATATTATGGAGTGATGATGTGTAACTGACAGCCAGGTTGCCCTATCGATTTAACGTTTTCTGGTCTGAGATCTAAAAATCGTAACCTAAGAGCCAAAAGTAATCTAGAAGTACTTTTACTCCTTAATAGTTTTTTTTTTAATTTATATGAGAGCACCATGGCTATTGTTCATTAAAAAATATTATTGTTCATTAAAAAAGGAATCTTGAATATTAGTTCATACTTCATATTTAGAAGATATCACGTAACATCCACACGAAAACAAACTTTTAGTAAAACAAACATAACATATTTTCGTAAGTCGGTTAAAAATACAGGTTCAATCATTCACAGCTCTGAAAATTATTTTATTTAATACGCTCCATAAGTGAAGTTTCCAAAAACAACACTACGAGAAGATTTATTACCATCCTAGTATATGGTTTTCAACTTGAAACATGCAATAAACGAAAAAAATGCCTGATTTATTTACAAATTTAAAACCATCTGTCATTCTGTTTTGGTCATTGGGTTGTTTTAAATCGAAAAGCTTTTTATTAATATACACGCCCAATATTTTTGTACAGAAATGAACTGCAATTGTTTACAAAACAAAAACAATTCTAGCTAGCTATTTAGGATACTAATGCCCGATTTCACCAACAACCCATAAGCTACCACCTACGTATGGGATCCCTAGCTTAAAAGTCCCCTAAACTAACCCCTAAATTAAATTTCGTTTTACGATCGTCTTTAAGCCCATATTTCGAGCACCTAAATTTAGGGGGCCTTTTAATATTTAGGTGTCCCCTAACAGCCCCCTAACCATGCTTAGGGGATCCCTTAAACTTAGGTGACGTCGGTGAAATCGGGCATAAAACTCATAATATTTCTGACAATTAACAAACCAACATAAGGTGTGTCAGACAGCATTTTCTAACGCGGTTAACACTAAAAACGCTAAAAATAATGCGTGAACTCACCGATCGAGACATGTAGAAAAGAACCAAAAAATTAATAAACGTACTAAAGCCCGACCCTTTAAACCCTTGCGATAAAAATAATAATGCAGTAATATCGCTCCATATATAGCGAAACTGATCTTGCTATATCGAGTACAATCATCCAAACACCGGCAAATTCAGCTGTAGTGCTTATTTCTATCGAATAAAGATTATTTTTGCTTAAATCCTTATATTATTGTAAATGGTACGGTGTACGATAAGGTCTTGTAATAGCATGAAGTTAGCAACAGTATGAGATGATCGACCAATCAGCGCTCGCGAATTTCACACTGCGCGGAGGCGAAGCTGCCCTCAAAAAACCCCTCTGAGCCGGCATCCGACCAAATCACCGAGCAGTGTTGTGCGAGAGTCACGTGTATAGTGTATAAGTAGCTATTTTATATTAAAATGAGGGAAATCGTGCATATCCAAGCCGGCCAATGCGGCAACCAGATCGGAGCTAAAGTAAGTAAAAATTGTAATTTAAGATATTTTTTACAGCTTCACGCTTCTGGTGAGACGGTTACATGGAAATATAAGGTAATATGGAAAATTCTTGGTCAAGCAACAAGTTAAAAAACAACTTGTTAAGTCAGAAAAGTTCTATAGAAATATTTTGTTTATTTTAAACAGGTTTATTATAAAAAAAAACAGAGTTGTTGACATATTTTTTTCTGCTAGAGAAAGTAGGTGAGGATGGTTTCTTCTTGCATAATATCGTTTGTCTATTAGGAAATGGGTGAATTTGAATATATCACGCAAAAGGCCGGACGGTCGCCGCTACCCCTCACGCAACCGTTCTCACGTGAGGGGTGAATCAGGTTAAAAACATCAGTCAAATTAACTATAACATAGATACCATTGTTTATGATAAAATTGGCTTAGTAAAAGTCATTCTGCAATATTTGAAGAATAGAAATCCAAAGAAGTATATGAGAATGACATATTATAATTGATATGACATAACGATTAAAGTCATTTCAATACAATTTTTAATATTAATATCGAAGGATAGGCTAAGAACTAGTGACTCACCCACGCTCTGCTCGAGTTCATCCCTAGGTACTTTTTAACGGTTTGTATGGAATGTGTGTGTGTATATATATATATATATATATATATATATATATATATATATATATATATGACTTTTTAAGCTCCTACGATAGGTATTATATAACTGAAGTTAGTAAAAAAAAATAAGCTAATTCGGTTTCAAAAATCAATAATTTAGACATTATCATTTAATGTCAAAATAGGATCCATGCTAGGTATCGTTCTCTCCTGACATTAATTATCTGATTTATATGTTTTTTTTTATTTTCCGTATGGAGTATAATTGATAATTTATTGTTACTACTAAGTACTAAAAAAACTCCACTTTCGAAAATTTTTTATAGATAACACTAAACCTCGCCATAAGCTACATAACAAAAAAAACGGTTATCAAATAGAGCGGGAAAAGGAATTTAGCTGTTTTGTCTTTGCCTATTTATATATGTATATAAATAAACTGCAAGCATTGTGTTGCTTTAATTTTTTTCTCAGCCATCTTTCGCCAGTTCTACTCAGGTTTGAGGCTTCTTCTTTCCGAACTGATAGTAGGTTCAATATAAAAGTTTAATAATTGAATGCTGAATAAAATCATTTGAATTTGAACGCAACAGATAAAGTAATATTAAAAAAATACAAATAAAGCAGTTTCCAGACACACGTATCATTTAAAAGTAAAACGACTTATTTATGATTATTCTTATCAAAACACTTAAATACAACAATTGCTTAATGTTGGATGATAATTAATAGAAAAATATCTTACTTAGAAATAAAGCTTAGCAACCGGAAGTAAAATATTTATTGTACTTTTATAATTTGCCCGACACAGACCATTGACAATTGAAGAGGAATTATTATAGACATCTTACATAATTATATGTACTTAAAAATTGTTTGTTTGTATGTCTGTTATAATTTCTGGAACTACTGCACCAATTAACTTATAGAAAGCTACCTATAGGTATAGTAGGTTACAAAAGCTTTTCTTATCGAGATATCAGAACACCCGCAGGCGAAAGCTAATACATCATACACGAAATTTTATACAATACTATATCCGATAAGTCATCTGTACATTAAATATGATATTTGAATAAATGTTAGGCATATATATCTGTTCAGATAAATGAAAAATAAATATTTTTGTAAAAAAACATACACAACTAGGTTTTTAAATCTATACAGCATTCTATTAAGAAAATCTCTTAGCATTTTCATTTGATGAACAAACATACATTCTATGTATTTTCGTACCATTGTTGCTGCTTTCCATAGCAACAGCTTTCCCGACCCCGTAACGGTGAAATCGCATTTACATGCAAGCACCCGCTATTGATCGTAGATTCGAATCTTTACAGTCGGTTTCAGTACTTTCTATTAGCTGCTTAATTGCTCTCAATAAGAGAGAAAAAATAAAAATCTAGATTCAATGTCTCGCAATTTGAGCACTAGTTTCCTATGTGATATTATACTTTGATATTGGCAAAATGTTTACATGAGTCGACACGTTTGGCTCAGTTTGTAGTGACCCTACTTGATGTACCAGCGGTCGCGGGTTCGAGTCCCGCTGGAGGCATTCATTAGTGTGATGAGCACGAATGTTTGTACTCCATTCATGAGTTTTTATATTTATAATATATATGTATTTAAAGTTATATATGTGTAGTGTATCAACTATCTGGTATCCATAACACAAGCCTCGTAGCTCACCATGGAATTAGATGATGCTGTGTATTAATGTCCCAACATATTTATTTATTTATTATTATATGTAGTTCAAAGTCGGCTTATACTAAAATTTGGTATTTAAAATACTTTATTTTATCATTAAAGTCTATAGATAATATTGCAAATACTATAACCCAAAAGCAACATCACGCTTTATACAATCGTGGGTTAAAGGAACATGATACTTATCAGATGATGTAAGAACATGGTAAATGCATTATATTTTTTGATAAAACATGCAAAAGATAGCAGCAAGCCTGATAAGGCTGTTATATTGTGATAAGAGTGCAATTCACTTGAAATTTTATATATTTTTAACGTAATTTGTTGTACAAGAAAATAATATCTAATATATAAAAAGCCAACATGATTACCATTTGTCTCTGTATCATCTTTGTATCATTGTATCATCTTAGAAATGATTCGCACATGAAAATATCAGATGTGCGAGACCCGGGATTTGAACCCGCTTCACTCGGTTTCCCAAGCGAGCGCGCTACCACTGGGCTACCACTGCCTATAAGTGAGTTTAAAACAAAGATAAAATTATTTGCTCAAACTTGTTGCTAAAGAATACGATATAAGTAAATCTATACAGATAAATAAAATTGAAGTGTCTGTTTGTAATATCAAAATAACAGCTTTTTATTAAATGAATATGGAATTATAAGTTACTTATAAGTAAAACACAATTTTAAAAATTTTTTGTCTGTCTGTCAATCTGTCTTCTGTTTGTTTCGGCTAATATCCGAAACGGCTGGACTGATTTTAACGGAACTTTCACAGGCAGATAGCTAATGTTGTAAAGAGTAACTAAGGCAATTTTATTTTAGAAAAAGAATTAAGGTTCCGCCCAAAAAAAAATATGTACATATACATATGTAGGTACTCGTACACTTTCATCGTAGCTTTGGTATTTATTCATCTTTTTACTCAAAACGTGACTCAGTGTAGGAATTTCAATGCCAAAGTAAGATAGATAGTACAGACTACAGAGTGCGCTAAAGAATGACAGCTGCGTCAATACTGACATATCATTTACATATTTTGAATAAACTAATATTATAAAGAGGTAAAGTTTGTGAGTTTGTGACGTTGTAGGGGTAATCTCTGGATATACTGAACCGATTTAGATGAAATTTGGTAAGAAGATAGTTTGAGACCCTGGGAAGGACATAGGACTTATTATCCCGGAAATCATTCCTTAAGGGGGTGAAAATGGGGATGAAAGTTTGTATGGAGAACCAAGCTTAGGAACGAACCCGAGCGAAGCCAGAGTGAGTCGCTAGTTTTGAATAAACAATAAATATTTCACGAATTTTAACAAGTTTCTAAAGCAACATGCAGATAATCTCATTTATATACTAAATCATAATAATTTCTTAGATTTACGCGAATATTTGACATTTTAAATAAAATTATAACTAAAACTAATTCATGGTCACGTGAGAGTCTCTCCTGAGAGAAAAGATAGGTTTATTTAAAATTTATTATACTAAGTCATGAAATTTACATTATTTAACCTTGTAGAACTGCTATAACGTTTAATAAATAATTTAAAGCTAAGAAATATGAAATAATGCTAAATTGACAGTTCAAGTATATTATTCTAAGCAAAATTTGCGAAAGAATGGCGAAATTTTCATATCGTATGTTTAAACTTAATTATTTTAGTTTATTTACAATTTGTGTCATCTCGAACGTGCCGACACGTTACTTAGCGGAGGCCTCGTCAGCGTTACAGACAATTTCACGCAGTAACTGCCCAAAACAATGCTCCAAAGAACCATATTTTCTAGTCTGATGAATGCAAATTACAGGGTCTAAATTATTTTCGTTAGTGTATGTATGTATATAATTGTTAGTTTTCTTAATATTTATTTATCCGGAACTACTTAATTTGACATTAGGTCTGAGTTTAGATTATTTTTTATCAAAATTATTAAATAGTGTCATTGTTTAAACGTTTTAAGGGTAATTTTACACTATAGTAAATATATTTAATTAATCCCTCCACAAGCGCGGACACGCCGGCGCGCGTGTCAGTTTACAATAGATTTCTTAGAATTTTAATTAATTTCTTAGAAATTTACCTGGACGTGTTAATTACAAATATGCAAAACAAATGTATACTTAATTATTGCTGTACTAGTTAAGTCCGCGTGGAATTGTGGAAAAAATACTAGCCCTACATTTCATTTGAATGTCTCAAATATGGTGGCTCAGAAAAGATGTAATTTTACAATCAGTTAAAGAGTAAAAATGTTATCTAAAATAATAAATGGAAATGTAATATTACTACCATTTTATGATACTGATTAAATGTCAATACGATTTTTAAAATTTCTATAACAATTGCAGAACCTTAAAATGACACTTTGTCAACTACTCGACACTTGCTAAGTGTATTTATGCACCAAATGTTTAGGGCTTACTTTATGTACGTGTAACACTTGTATATAAGCATAGAATGGATGTCGATAGTTCTATTCTAGTGTTAGGCACCTCTATTCCATAATCCCATATCCCATAAATATTATAAATGCGAAAGTTTGGATGGATGTTTGTTATTCAATCACGCCACAACGACTGAATGGATCTGGATGAAATAAGCACAGAGTACATTATAGTCTGGAATAGCACATAAGTTACTTTTTATCCCGGAAAATAGTACGGTTCCCGTGGGATAAATTTGTTTATGTTAATAATAATTGAAACTTTCGTCCAATTGAGTACTTGAGTAGTCACTGTAGGCGTTATTAAGAATGGTATATTTAACTTTCACATTCGCTTAAATATCAGTTATGTGATACAGCATCCAAATCTTGAGATATGTGATACATTTTTATTATTACCACATTGTTATCTAAGAAACGTGGAAAATAAAATATATATTTTACAATAACATGTCAGTTTTACTATTTCGTTTAATAATCACAAGTTAAGTTTGAAACTATTTTGGAAAGATATTTTAATGGAAAAATATTTAAATATTTATTTAAATACTTCGTATTTATTTGTTTTATTTATCTTAATCTTGCTAATATTATCATAATGTAATGAGAAAGTTTACATGTTTGGATGTTCGGACGTTTGTTACTCAATCACGCCAGAACGGCTGAACGGATCTGTATGAAATGTGGCACAGAGATAGATTATACTCACTATAATTATAGTCTGGAATAGCACATAGGCTACTTCTTATCCCGGAAAAATGTACAATTAGATATTCCCTAGGGATAGATTTGTTTTTGTTGCGTTTACAGTCAAACTTATATACAAATGACCTATCAATAGTATCAGGAGAGAAATTAATTATTTTGAAAGACTTTTTCTTAACTTTAAAACCAACCGCAAAAAAGGGAGGTTATTAAAGAGAAAACTAAGCGCTTGTAATAGTTTTCTCGTATATCTTATCAGTGGCAACTGGCAACGCCCGCGGGGTCAACGACCGGCCGTACGGTTTAAAATAGCCATAGTGTACTAACGCTTAACTCAGCCGTTAAGCAGCTTGCACCGGTAAACTATACGATTTGAATGTATCTTCTAGACTTCTCTAATATCCTGTTATTTTTTTTAAAGTTAGTATAATTTATTTTATATATTACTGTCGTAAAAGTTTGTCTGTGCGTGGTTCTAAAACTGTTAAACCAAAGCTGTATAGTACTTGTTATTTAAGAAATGATATCACGGTTTATGACAAGTGTGAAGTGTCTCGATTAAGCTCGTCTTCAAGTAACTTTGTAATAGTAATATCCCATTGAAAAATTCTTTACTTTTAAGCAGATAACATGTATAGTAATAAGTAGAGAAGACGGATTAAAGCAACTATGTCACTAAAGCTCTATGCAAAAATTCCTATGTTGTTGCTGAATAAATAACGGACAAACAAACAAACCAACAAATATAATATTTATAATATTAGTATATCTATCTATTCTCTAAGACAGATTAATTGGAACAAACGATATCGCTAATAAAAAACTTAAAAAAAAGAAAATGATATAGACCACATACATAATGATTTGATTAACACAGCCCTATAAGTACATTTTTTTTGTTTCCCAATAGCATTTGTAGGAAATCTTCTAAGCCCTTTGAAGAACAGCATTCCAGTAATATCCATGAATCTCTCGCAAGACTCTCACTTAGTCTGGGTTAACTTTTTAAATAAAACTAATTTTCGGATTTTTTCGCGGATTTATATCGATTTTTGGGGAACGTTTCGAATGCTTCACAGCAAACATGGTCACGGGAGAGACTAAGGTTTTAGACGTCTCAAAGGACATTATGATATACTTGTTACAGATAGCACCTACCCAAACAAAATTATATAATATACAAAAAATGACAGACACCAAAGTACTTTACAATATTTGTTAATTTTAATTTAAAACAACTTTTATATATCAAAATAAAACCAACGAAAAATCCGAATAGATCGTTTTATTGAAAATGTCCAATATTCGCGTAAATCCACGATGTTCTTCTCAAGCACAGTGTTTGTGTAAATCCATTGTACACGATCATTTCCCCCGCAAGTAGCACAATGTACGACGTTCACACACTTTCGTTTCGTCTTGTCTAGTTACAAGAAAGCTTTGTACAATCGATCGCCTTTCACTTTTTATGTCAAGCTTCTTTACAGAGTTTTGAAAGTTTACATTTCGACCACAATTAATCTTAAATAAAATGTTGCATGTCTACGGATTTGGTCCAGTGTTAATTTATTACTGTCAGTATCTTAACAAAGGTAGTCAGATCTATTTTTTCTTAGTTAAGCTTATTATATTATTTAATAAATGGAAGCTCCACTATTGGAAATAACCACACGATTATGAAAAATCATCAAAATATTAAAAACTTTCACATTCTCAAATACTAATATAGAAAAAAAAAACAAATTTATCCCACGGGAACCATACATTTTTCCGGGATAAAAAGTAGCCTATATGTTATTCTGATGTATGAGCTATGTTATTGTAAAGTTTCATTAAAATCCATTTAGTAGTTTTTGCGTGAAAGAGTAACAAACATCCATACATCTATACATTTAGATATCCATACATCCTCACTAACTTTCGCATTTATAATATTAGTATAGATTCCAACTTATCATTCAATTATGAATTCGCTAAGCTGTAATTACCATTTACCAATACTCAGTTAAAGCAATGCAATAAAAAAACCTATTTATTTCTATTTAAATCATTCTGTTTGTCATCTCAAAGCTGTATATAACTTACCACAAAGCTGACGTAAGTGTTATAAGAAAAATGTTTACATAAGCATCTCAAGGCACTTGTTTATTAGCAATACTCGCTGATTCGTTGAATCTTGGAGCCCTGAACCAAAAGCTGACATCCATATTAGTCATTTAAACGTATATGGCGTTGTCAGCCGCTTACCCACACCAGTACACCTACTCGCAGCCTACATGACATCATACATATCGTCATGCACGTAACTTTGAATTTTAATGCTTTCCGATCACTCGCTAAGCTACTTACTGCCTCTGTTAGTTTTAACAAGAATTTTAGTTACCAAACAATTTTTGGTTAGTCCAAACAGCGTTGGTACATTGGCAAATTGCTGACCATATGGCGTCAATTGAGATGTAAGTTTAAGGAGATTCGATAAGACATTCGAATGCTAATAACTTGGTTAAAATACTGGTACAATACGTTCTCCACTTATAAGGAATGAACCCAATACGGACGAGACGTGGGCGTCGCCCGTCGTCAAGGCAACTAGACTGTACACCTCCATATCTCTTGCAAACGGCTTGCGTAATTCACTCTACTCTCTAATTGTATTCATTATAGGCATTATGCATCCTGCCCGCCATTTACACGATGGTTCATTGTGCTTTATTGTCGTCGTGCCCTGCCATTTGAAACAATGATCTTAATACACAAACCTGATTAGTGATTAATAGAGTTACGTTTACTGTTTAGTTTGTTTGTAGACACTTACATATCTAATGTTGTATTTAAGTAATAACTTTGAAAGTCAAGATATTTTTACATCCATTACTATTCGTAGATTCGTTAAGTCAAATCAATTATTTAAATGTGTACGTAATAAATATCAAATTATTAACGTTTCTTTGTTTTTTGCAGTTCTGGGAGATCATCTCTGACGAGCACGGCATCGACCCCACCGGCGCCTACCATGGCGACTCAGACTTGCAGCTCGAACGCATCAATGTATACTACAATGAAGCCTCCGGTGGCAAATACGTGCCCCGCGCCATCCTCGTGGACTTGGAGCCCGGCACCATGGACTCTGTCCGCTCGGGACCTTTCGGACAAATCTTCCGCCCCGACAACTTCGTATTCGGACAGTCTGGCGCCGGCAACAACTGGGCTAAAGGCCACTACACCGAGGGAGCTGAACTTGTCGACTCAGTACTTGACGTAGTCCGCAAGGAATCTGAATCATGTGATTGTCTTCAGGGCTTCCAACTTACACACTCCCTTGGTGGCGGTACTGGCTCCGGTATGGGAACCCTTCTCATCTCTAAAATTCGTGAAGAGTATCCAGACAGAATAATGAACACATACTCAGTCGTCCCCTCGCCCAAAGTATCAGATACCGTAGTAGAACCTTATAACGCGACTCTTTCAGTACACCAGCTCGTAGAAAACACAGACGAAACCTATTGTATCGACAACGAGGCCTTATATGACATCTGTTTCCGCACACTCAAACTCTCCACACCCACCTATGGAGATCTTAACCACTTAGTATCTCTAACCATGTCAGGTGTCACAACTTGCCTCAGGTTCCCTGGTCAACTCAACGCAGATCTTCGTAAATTGGCCGTTAACATGGTACCCTTCCCTCGTCTCCACTTCTTCATGCCAGGATTTGCCCCACTTACATCCCGTGGAAGCAGACAATACCGTGCCCTCACCGTACCCGAACTTACCCAGCAGATGTTCGATGCCAAGAACATGATGGCGGCCTGCGACCCACGCCACGGCCGCTACCTCACCGTCGCCGCCATCTTCCGTGGACGCATGTCCATGAAAGAGGTCGACGAGCAAATGCTTAACATCCAGAACAAGAACTCATCGTACTTCGTCGAATGGATCCCCAACAACGTCAAGACCGCCGTGTGCGACATCCCGCCCCGTGGTCTCAAGATGGCCGCCACCTTCATCGGCAACTCCACAGCCATCCAGGAGTTGTTCAAGCGCATCTCCGAGCAGTTCACCGCTATGTTCAGGCGCAAGGCTTTCTTGCATTGGTACACTGGCGAGGGTATGGACGAGATGGAGTTCACCGAGGCGGAAAGCAACATGAACGACTTGGTCTCCGAATACCAACAGTACCAGGAGGCGACTGCCGACGAGGACGCGGAGTTCGATGAAGAGCAGGAGCAAGAAGTAGATGATCACTAAACGTATATAACCGTTGCGTTGCGACATATTACATGCCATTATCGTCTCGCGTTACTTTAAGTAACTTAATGATTCCTATACTGTGTATTGAAGACATGCTTGCTAACTTTTAACAGAATGCACAACTAAACAAATCCGTTTCCGACCAAATGTGAAAGCATATAGATTAATATATTCCGCATGATCCAGCAAGCCTCGTCGCGTAAGATCTGAAAATTTGTTAAGGCTGAAATATACATATAAAATATGTATTTGGGAGATTAGTTTGGACGTCGCCATACCAAACGTGAATGTCGGCTTCAATAACAGAAGTTTTTTTACGATTAAAATTGTTTTTATCAATAATTTAATGTATATAATAAAGATTTTTATTTATTAGTCGTATCGTTTTAATTCTTCAGAATCCCGAAAATAGTTAAGTCTGTGTCAAATGTACAGTGAAGTAGAATAGAAAAAATATTATATACGTATTTTATAAAAATAATAAATAATAAAAAAATAGGTTGGGATATAACACAGCACTATCTAGTTCCATGGTAAGCTACGAGACTTGTGTTATGGGCTCCAGATAGTTGATACACTACACATATATAACTTAAAATACATACACATAAATATAAACACCCATGACTGGACTACAAATATTCGTGCCCATCACACAAATGAATGCCCCCAGCGGGACTCGAACCCACGACCATTGGCACAGCAAGTATGGTCACTACAAACTGAGCCAAACATCATAAAAATAAAGTAATTAATATTACCATCTTATATAACTGAGAGGCGAATCAATATTGAAAAGGTTAATTATGAATCATACTCGTTCAAAGCCGTAGATGACTCAAGGTGACCGCGGTATTGACACTTTATTATACAGTTTATATCTATTGTTACACATTGACAAGGTAACAAGATGTACATATTAGTTGAGAAAAATTTTTTTTATTAAGACGACACGTTTGGCTCAGTTTGTAGTGACCCTACTTGCTGTGCCACCGGTCGCGAGTTCAAATCCCGCTGGAGGCATTCATTTATGTGATGAGCGCATTATTTTTAATATGTATGTATTTAAATTTATACATGTGTAGTGTATCAACTATCTGGTATCCATAACACAAGCCTTGTAGCTCACCATGGAACTAGATGGTGCTGTGTGGTAATATCCCAACGTATTTATTTATGTTTACTTAAAAAGATTGAATTATCAGCCTTTTAAAATCTTAGGTTCATCTCTACCTAAAAATTGTTTTTATTGAAAATTTGAAAATAAAGTAGAAAGTACACACAAGAGAAAGAGAATAAATCAAACACTCTATAATGTATAATTACATCTAAGTTGAATAATTTTACTGTTGGTATTAATAATTCTTGCTAAAGATGTACCGATATGTCTGATTAAAAATGAGCTCTACATAAACTTTAGATAAACTTAATTAAAAATCTCGTGAATTTCTTTAAATTACTACTTCAAAAACTAATAAATCAAAACAAATTACTCGTAATGACTCGTATATAAGCCAAAAAGGAAAAAAATGGCCAAAATATAATAATTTGTGAGATTGAAGCACCTGACATCATCGTCATGGCTATTTTTAGAAATGCACTTCGGCCACTTTGAAAGATCTCTACAGTTCCCGTTATTATGGTCCAGTGCTCGTAAATCAGCATCACTTCAGAACAGATCAAGGTAAAATGGACGAGATAACAAAATGATGTCAGTCCGTCCGTCAAAACAGGCTTATGTCATACTTGATACGTGGTGTAAACAGGTTAAAATATTTATACATATATAGAGACGTCATTATTGTTATTGATTTGAATAAATATGACATGCTTTTAGCTCTAAATTTACATGTTTTCTATACATATAATAAAATTGTAACTAAGCCGAATCTGTACATTAAATAATTTTTGGGAAATCTTATTGAAATAAACATTATTATCAATACAGAGGCCGAATCTATAGTTTTTAGAACTTTTCTGTCTGTCTGTCTGTTACCGCATCACGAGAAAACCACTAGACAGATTTTAATGAAATTTGGTATGGTGATAGCTGGTTATCCGGGTCAACATATAGGAATTTTTACCGCGGTAAAATGTCTCATTTCTGAGAAAAAATCAAAAACTGCAATGTAAGAGTATACTATACTAATATGTAAAACCTAAGAATTTGGTTTTTGGTCATCTGAAAGCGGGCGGAGCTGCGGGCAATGCTAGTTTAAATTAAAATCAGTGTGAATGTCACATGCTTCATCTGTCATGCTATTTGCATAACACTGGACGGATTGCAATGGTAAGTGATTACGAACTAAATAATACACGAGTGCGAACTTACAGGCAGATGATAGCAAACCAAAATAAACTGTACAATTAAAAAGGAAGTGTTATGACATCTAGTGTTTTAAACTAATGCTTTTTTCTGGCTTCGCTTACGTTTCGAATACACTTATATCTCTACTATAATATCCATATGTACTTATACTAATATTATAAATGTTAAAGCTTGCGAGGATGGGTGAATGTTTGTTACTCTTTTACACCGGAACGGCTGAACGGATCTGGATGAAAGTTGGCATTGGCATAGAGCTAGATAGTCTGGTATAACATATAAGCTACTTTTTATCCCGGAAAAATGTATGGTTCTCGTGGGATAGATTTGTTTTTCTCTAGGAATGAAGCGGAGCGAGGGTGGGTCGCTAGTAGGTTATATCACTCTTGGACTTAAAAATCTCACGTAAGTTAGTATCTTATTATATAAGAACTAGCGTTCTCCTGCGGCTGCTTCCGCATAGTACATTAATCACCAACATATCATATACTAAAACCTTCTCCGGAACACGCTGCGTCTTATCGTATGAGTATTATTCCGATCGGTTCAGTAGTTATCGCAGTATAACCGAACAAAAAAATCGACTTTCCATCTACTAGTATAGATTTAAAAAAATACTTCTTACGAAATTTCCACCAACATACAAACTTATATTTATTTTCTTATAATATTAGTAGATAAAAGATTTAATTTGAAATTTCTTAACTAATTAACGTGTCTACAGTATTATATCAATCGTTCTGAGAAAAGAAAGTGCAACGCGCTTTATCTCAACGCTCGCGTTATGTCAAGATAGCCAACGTCATTTTCATACTTAATATGTTACGATTTTAATAAAATAATATTGAAAAAATCTCAAATACAAAGATTTCACGCGAAATGTAAATAAGTGAAAGATTTTGAACGAATTATACAAAAGTAGCTCAATTTTAACTGAATTATAGTAAGAAAGAGTCATTAGAACCTAGTATAGTATTATGTGATTTGTTTGTTTGTTTGTTTTTTTGTTTGTTTGTTTATTTGTTCGTTCGTTTGTTCGTTTATTTATTTATTATACATTATATATCCCACAGGCTAGCTCAACATGATATTAAAAAAGGCCTTCTTTCATAACCCGACATCCACACAAAAACAAAAATAACAAAATAAAAAATGCAATATAAGTAGGGCCTCTTTCCTACTACTCTACCTTGCCCGGGGTGACCATTCATCAGTCATCTATATGTGCATATAATAAAATTGTAACTAAGCCGAATCTGTACATTAAATATTTTTTGGAAAATCTTATTGAAATAGACATTATGATCGATACAGAGACCGAATCTATAGTTTTTAGAATTTTTGTCTGTCTGTCTGTCTGTCTGTCAGTCTGTTACCGCATCATGGAAAAACCACTGGAGGGATTTTGATGAAATTTGGTATGGTGATAGCTGGTTATCCGGGTCAAGATATAAGATACTTTTTACCGCGGGAAAATATCTCATTTCTGAGAAAAAATACAATAACTGCAATGTAAGAGTATACTAATATGTAAAACCTAAGAATTTGGTTTTTGGTCATCTGAACGCGGGCGCAGCCGCGGGCAATGCTAGCCACCTATAAGTTAAACAAGATCAAATTTAGAAAGGACACGTACTGCCCACGTGTAACCACTTGATTAATCATAAAACTTCATTGAAATATTTTGTAATGTTAAGTATTTATAGATGTACTAAAACAGAAATTATAATACGCAGTTCGATGAATTTTATTACATCATTAAATGATTAAAATATATTTAAATGCAATGAATTAAATGATGTTATTTATTTCATATGTCAAAATGGAGCGATTCATTTTGAATTAGTGACTCACTGTTGTTGTTTTGCTTATTAAATATGCTAATTGTAATAGATAAAAACAAACTTAAAGATAAAAATAAAACTTCCTCCTTTTTGTGAGTCGTTTAAAAATTCACGAGAACCTCTCAATGGATCGGGAGAAAAAGTCCATTATAAAGATAACTTGGGGTTTTTGGAATTTTTGTATAATATTTAACCAACTTTTGTGTATGAGTTTTTTTTTTAATTCAACTACAATCTGTGGGAAAAGATGGCATACAGTTTAAAGGAAGATTGTTAGATTGATATCAAATCGTCAAACCTGTGGAGAAAATAATATAAAAAAAATCGATCAAGCGCGAGTCGAATTTGCACATGAAGGGTTCCGTAGAATCGTACACGTACTTTAAAATGACTTTTACTTTATGTATGTACCTAGCATATTAACATCGATGATCGATTACGAACGTTAAAAAAATCTATTTTTTTTATTTTTTTTATTTATTTTTATTATTTGTTGTTATAGCGTCAATAGCAATACACACTCTGTGAAAATTTCAACTCTCTACCTATTACGGTTCATGAGATATAGCTCTCTGACAGACGGACAGACGGGCAGCGGAGGCTTAGTAATAGGGCTCCGTTGGCACCCTTCAGGTACGGAACCCTAAAAATCATCCGGGGAATCCGGAGCACAATAATTTCAATAAGGCTACTTTTTGTAACTATAACTTCAGATCGAAATTTCATGCTTCTTGTAATGATGATGATGTTCTCCTGACCGATTCCGGCCACGGCGGCCAATCCCATTGAGACTAGCCAACTGCGCACGAGATATTATAGTGCAC